TTGTGAAAGCATAGGTGTTTTAAATCTATATGTACAGTATCTGGAGTCCTTACTGTCAGTCAGTTGTACTTGGGTTCTGTCATGATGGAAAGGTTCTTGATAGAACCCCAGGTAGAATTCTCGGTGGAATCATTAAGTCCTGAAAGGGTTATCTATAAAATCTCAAACGGGGGGTTCTTGGTGGAACCTTTAACAGTTGGTTCTAGGTGTAAACCTTTGTGATGGGTTGTTGGTAGAACCCTCCAGATCGAACCTTAATAAAATCCTGGTCGACCAGGAACCAAAAACTCTTATGGGGACAAGCCAAGGAACCCTCTGTGGTTTTACTTAGCGCTTTCATTTTTGTTGTACATTTTTTGAGTGTAGATGTGTAATGTGAACTGGACTCATAATGCAGAGTGCCTGCAGAATAATGCATCATCCATGCTGTGCCCTATTCTCTGGACCCCTGCACTGTCTGAGGATGATTTCTGAGGATGTATTGGGGGTTAGTGGGGTTATCCCGTCTTTGTAACTCATTCCTGCCTGCAAATGCACAAATTAATCACAGAAACACTGAATGGGAAACCTTAACAGTGAGCATCCCCCCTCTGGATGGAGACCCCTGGCTAAAGAACATAATCTTCAGTGTAAGACGATCCAGGCCCAGGCCTGCCTCTGGACCCCGTCTCTACGTTTCCTCCCAGTGCCTCTGTGCTGATTTTGGCAGCAGCTGCAGCAGCAGACTGGGGTTGAATGTGATCTTGCCTGCACCCCACAATGGTCAGCCACCACCACAAGTGACTGGTTGGTGAAAGTTGCTACCCGATGTTCAGAGAGGAGGATGACCAGGGGTGAAGTTTATGATGCTCCGGATGACATGTTGGATTTTTCACAGGTTTAGATTTAATTGTTTTTCCTTTTAACCAGAAACTAGTTTCAGAGTCATTCCACTGTTTACATTTTTGAAATAATGTCAGCAGTGGTTAGAAAAGACAATTCACTGGTTGTTACAGGTTTAATAAAGTCCCCGGGCTCTGCATCAATGCCAATCAAGGCCTTTTTAGTGGATCAGTATGAGCATTTTAACGTCCAATTCATTTCCACTTCTTTGTCAATTATAAACTATTGCACTCAGGGTACATGAGCTGTCAACAACAGCAGCCAGCAGTCACATTTTTTGACATCCACACTGACAGAGTGTTAGCGAAAGCCAAGAGAGGCCGTTCAACCCCTGTCCAAACCGTTCTACCATGCATTCTCTTGGTCTGCAGCTAATCAGCAGTGAAATGTGCAAATTACTACACACATGAATTTTAATGTGGACTTACAAAGCAACAAAAGTCAATACAGTGGGACAGCCTTTAAAAAAGTAGCACTTACAGGCTGAACCATAGCTGACATGAGATGAGGAGAAAAAAACAGATAAACTGCCAACAACATAAGAACATAATTCTCCTGTTACATGTCTGAACTGTGAAATGTGTGATTTTGGTCAAATTCCTCTGAATCGTGACAATCACCGTGCAGACTCTGGCTCCAAGTGACATCACCAGCACAAAATGTCAACACTCCTATCTGGGATTTTTTGACTTAATTTGAATGCTGTGGGAGGAAGTGGAGATGTGCAGATGTTTGGCCATGAACCAAAATGAACTTTTGACCAGTTGATGGTGATTAGTGAAATAACAAGAGATCAAAGTCATAGCAATTTGTCCACATGCCTGTAAAGTGCATTAAACGCAACATAAAGTGAAATTCCTCATGCAGTGATTGTTCTCCCTCAGCAAAACTTTATTGACAGCATTTGTAAACTAAAGAAGAGCTTTCGATCGTGGGGGGATTGACGTTTGAAGTCTTGCAGACAGAGACCGCTGTTTGATCCTTGCAGCTTTTTGGCCTCAGCAAACCTTAAGAGGACACAAAACTATCCCTGTGAAATAAATAAAAATGGAAAAGGCAGACACCTCATGGGGTTTCATGGACAGGGGGCAACACTGAGGCCAACAACATGTCAGTCTGCAGAGAAGAGAGAGAGAGACGGGCAGAGATTATGTCAACAACTAGTGAACCGATGGCGTCCACAGTAAGACGAGAGGCCGATAGTAAGACTTGAATATGAATCGACGTGTTTCAAATCAGAGGCCAATGCACAACGAGTGAAGTAAAGTGCACAGAGAGGACATGAAAAAGGAGAGAGGAGGTGAGGGAGCTTGCTAGCGTCATGCATCACTCTCACTAATAAACCATGACTGACATTAAAAGGCTGTACCCAATTACTGGATGCTGTCCCAGCCCTCACACAGACTCTCTCTCACACACACACACACACACACACAGTTAAATAGTTGTGGGTTTTGGAAGGCAGGTTAAAAACAATTTTAATCTACAATGTGCGTACCACAGAAATGCACACAAACACTCACATTCTAGATTCCACTGAGTGTCATGTTGACCGAGCCTGTTGCCCGTCTGACCAACATACTTTCACATTCCAAAACAAAAACACACGGGTCACCTCTCCCTTCACCCTCATCTGCTCGTCCAGACACCGCAGCCTCCCCTGTCCTGTCATTCAGAGACACCCAGGGGAGAGCCGCTGTGGCTGCTGCATTTTTGACTGACCGACCTGTAAATGTACGTGGATGTGTACAAGGGCATTGTAGTGAGACATGTCTTTTATTGCCGCGGTGCATCTTCTGTTTTTTAAATACTAAAGACTGCAGCAGTGTGCAGGGTTGTAAGCACTAGCAGCATAGCATGTGGGATGGAAACATCTGGACTTCAGTCCAGACTGAAATGTCTCTATACTGGATGGATTGACATGAAACTTTGTACCAATGGTGCTCGGAGGAAGTTGACCTTGATGATCCTCTGACTTTGTGCCACCAGGAGTATTTTGTTTATTCAGGGTGGACTATTATAAACCACTAGTGTGATGGTAGAGCACAGGGTCATGCTAAAAAAACATTTAATTCATACATCATGTGGTGTGACTACATCCCAGGGCCAAAGTGTTCGTAACTGTTGTGAACAGCCACACTGAAGATGGACGGTAAAGACGACTCTCAAGAGAGGAAGGACATTATTGTTTGAGTTTGGGGATAATGAGGCACATTTTCCATTTTTTTGTCTCACCTGTAAGAATTCATAGTGATGCACTGGGTTGGTCACATGAAAAGAGACAGTAACAGTTCCTTAAAGTTCACGCTCTTCACCAATCATTGAATAAATGTATTAGGCTTTAAACATGGTTCCACTTTCTTTCAGGATCATTTGTTGCTCATTAGAAGAAAACAGACGTCAGTCCACATTTGGCCACTTCTTCACACGTCTCTCGTAGCTTAGATGTTCTCCAGAGTACAGCTGAGTTTGTTGGTATAACCTACATGGCCAAATATACTGAAATACTGAATTAAGCACCATTCATCAGATTTACTGCAAATGCTCATCTGCAACACATTTATACTGGGACTGCCATAAAATCAATTTCTGTTCCTTAAAAAACTTAATCCAGCCAACATGTATTTAGATCTTTTAGTCATCTCACCAAAAAACACCTGCTTTTAATGGAGATGCTGATACGACATCAATGCTCTCATTTCCCCTCCTGTTGAAATCAGTTCATTGCAATGTGTGTAACTAGTTCAGATGAAGCGTTGTGCCACTGACATGCTGTGGCTGCATGTACCCCATCTACCCATCTGTGCTGCAACTCTCAGTTTGGTGATGTCATTGACAAAGAAACAAAGAGACACCACATCATGGCTGATACCCAGATACACTTCATGTCAGTGTCAGCTCCCACATCAATATGGCAGCAACGGTATACAGCCTCTCAGCAGGAAAGACCTGCATCTGTAACACATTATCCCATTGATAGATGACTGATGGATTGATTGATTGATCATCTGACTGACAGACTGAGGGTGTTCGTCTCAGTCTTCACTCTCCTGTCTGCACCTCAGCCCCGTGCGCTGCCCTTTCCATCCCTTTCTCAACACTCTCAGCTAACAGGCTGCAGATTAAAGCGGCTCTCATCTGGATCTCATCAGTTTAGGCCAAGCTCATTTTATAGGTTACTTTTCATTCAGGAGGAGGAGGAGGGATTACAGAGTGATTTAGGGTTTCACTGCATGGAGGCTGGAGGAGAATAAAAGCAACTTGTTGCCTTGAGGGGACTGTGAATGAGGGAGCATGCTACATCCCCTCCAGGAACAGCATGCAGTTTTTAGGATATTTGCATTTCTTGTGTGTGTCTGTCTGTCTGTCTGAGTGTGTGTGTGTGTGTGATTTTTGTTGCGTGGCTGTGCCGCTCCAGTTTCTGAGCCATTTCCTCTCTGTTTTTCCATCTGTGATGTCTGTAACATGTGGTGGATTGTTGTGGGATTGTTGGATAAGTGTCACTGCCAAACACCATGAATCAATTTTGGGAAGAATTGTTGCCCAGTTTTCATTGCACAATGCTGTACTTGAAAAAAACTATATCCACCAATGTGTTACATCACAAAAGCAGTAACTAATTACTTCACTTTCACTATTAGGTTTTTTTCAGGTTTATTTGGTCAGACAGCAAATATTATGCAAGGAACAAGAATAGAAATCAGAAAAGATCCGCCTAAAACACAACCGCATATAAATAAATAAAACAATAAAATAAATGTTATAAACAATCATTTAAATTATCTCCCAGAACTTACTTCTACCGAATGGCTTTTACTTTATTGTTTCCTTTTAGCTATTATTATGTTTCTTTAACGATATTCTTTTGTCATCACCTTTAAAGATATAAGGTATAATATAATTAGCTGTCTTTGATTTGAATGTTTAAATGTATTATTTTGCATTTTTGGGGGGGGGTTGAATTCTTCTTAGCCCTTTTAATAGCTGTTTTGAAAGGTGTTAAAATTGTGTTAAATAACGATGTTATTATCTTTATCATTAGCATTAATAAGCATATTTCCAAAAGGTGAAATGAAAATGGCAGTACAAACATCTGATTACAGTCTCTTTATTTTCAGGAGGAAATGCTGTGAAGGGTTCAGGTTTGTGATGGGCCAGTGCATACCTGAAGGTAGGTAAACCATTAACACTGACTCTTGAACTTCACATGCTCTTCCTCTAACAGTGTTTGATTAAAACAGTCTGCAACACAATCTGGACATATTTGTCCACGGGGAGCTACAAAGATAATGTGGTCGTTATTATGGCTGATCTTTGTCAGTTTCAAGCAATTATATTAAGGAGTCCTCGCACATTTCACTGTTTCATTATTTACATCATCATGATCACCGGTTAAAATGCCTCTACAGAGTAACAGTGACTCACTCTGACCGCTAGAGGGGACTGTTCCCCACCTTGTTTAAACTGGATGTTCAAAGCGTGTCGTCTGATGCAGTTGTGTCTGAAAATCATATTTGTAAAATTAACCAATCATTTAGTACACAGCCTGATGTCCTACTACATCTTGAGATTAATGCTCTACTTGATTTCATGATGTTCTATTCATATGCTTGTCAATCTTGTAACAGAAGAACCTAGAACAAGGTCTAATGTACAGTTCAACCATACAGTATATATAGGCCACAGCACACATACAAGTATTACAAATATGTGTTTTCCATTTGATTTAAAAGTAACTTTATTCCGAGGCTTTAATCAAGAGAGCCCTGGACTCTCAAGACAATTTTTCTTTTTCTTTTTAATCAAACAAAAATTAAACTTTAAAAACTTTGTAATAGTCCTATTTCACAACATATATATTTTGGCAATATGATTAGAGTCTGAAACCAGTATGAAACCTACACCCTTTAGAAATGTAGGTGTAGACATGTGGAAAGCATTTGATAGTTGAAAAACAAATTACAGTGCAACCTTAAACCTGTCAAATACAATGCAGAATGATGACGATTCATGAAAATAAGACATCTCAGTATACTGATCTCTAGAGTAAACTATTGACTGTTCATTCTCTTTAGGCAGAGTTTTTTTTACCTATCATTGTAGGAAAGCACCTAAACAATGGTTATGTTTTATTAGGTGTCCCTGTGAGCCACAATAATGTGAGAATGATCCAGAAACCTGAAACTGAAGCAGCTGAAATGAACATTTCCTTTTGTTATTGTTTCTACTCTGACACGTCAATATGTCAGGCTGTATTGGTCAGTTTCCATGTGGTTGTGGAACTTTAGGAATGTGAGGATGTGGTAATAAAAAAGCAGTTACAGGTGATTACAGTTATGTTTTGATGCTGACTAACTTACTTAGTTCCCACACGCTCTTCCTTCTCTCTCTGTCTCTGTAGGTGTAGACGTGTGTGCTGCATCTCCCTGTGAGCAGCAGTGCACTGACAACTTTGGACGAGTTGTCTGCACATGTTACCCTGGCTATCGCTTTGACCGAGAAAGACACCGCAGCCACAAATCCCCTTACTGTCTGGGTCAGTACCTCACCCACCCCATCTCTCAGTCAATGATTCTCACTACCATGTCTATTACTGGTATGGTACAATGTCTCACTCATCCCAGCACCACAAAGTCATTTTTTGTCCTAACAGTAAAGATTAAGTGGACAATCTTCAAAAGATTAAATTCATGTGTTTCTTCAAACAGCATCAAGATGCTGAAAGTGTGAAACTGTGGCCTTCTCCTGTTTGATGCAGCATAAAGCAAATCAGCAGATTTCTTCTCACATCTGCACCCAGTATTTGCATTATGTAAATGCGATTGACCTGCAGTCATACTATGTGATGCCTCAGCAAGGTTCTTATTGCTCTAGGGTTTATCATATCCTAAGATATATAGATAAATATTCCTTCACCTACTGTATGTCCAAGGGGCGAGGGTGACAACTGAGATCCACATGTAAAGATGAATGTGAGAATGCAGCCAGATGAGCTACATGTAATTTATCCTCTACCCTCTGTCCTCTACCATCTTTCTGTCTGTCTGTTCGCTTTGTGTCATTGCATTAATAGTATTTATAACATCATATGGAATAGTCCAAAATTAGATTTTAATTTGATTGATCATCTCATGCAGACATTGATGAGTGTGAGCACCCAGGCAGCAGTGTGTGTGACCACGAGTGTGTGAACACAGTGGGAAGCTTCCTGTGTCGCTGCCACAGCGGCTACATACTGGCACCGGACCATCGCTCCTGCATCCCTGTACACAACTGTAAGTTTCTGTTGGGATTCACAAGTCTGGGTAGGAAACAGTCAGCATCTATCCATTATGGTTCATTGACTTCACTGTGAAGGTGTTTGGCCAATACAAGATATTATGGATAATATTCAAGTAAATTGTTAGCTAATTTATTAGTTTTTTACCTGCTTAAAGTCAGTAAAAGGTTGTTAAAGCATAACTATAGGGCAAACTGTTTCATATAAAAACTAAGATGTTAATCGATTAGCTCTTAAAATCCAGTTCATTTTTTTCAGTGTAACTGTCAAGCAGTGACTTGTAAAGAAGAGCATTTGTTGCCCTTCCTGAACTTGTAAGTAAATATGTTTTATGTGAATGTTTTGTCTTGCAGTGAGCTCTTCTGGGAAGTCAGACACTTTGATGAGTGCTGGTACTTGTTCATTCACCTGTCAGGACTTTATGAACATGAAAAACAATTTGCTGCAGCTGAAACTGAGGCTGGGCAACACACAGTCACCGAACCAGGTAACATGTTCACTTTTTAGAGCAATATTTAATCTATGTTTCCCACCTTTGACCAGTGAAGATAGAGCAGACTGTCCTTACAAATCTTAGACCATTTTGAGACTTAACTCTATTACTATAATAAAGTAATCAAACAATATTCATAGATGACTGCAAAGTAAGCTAGACTTAATATTTCCATACATTTCTCTCTGGATCAATAGTATCTATCTATCTAAAGGTTAATGTTTTATCATAAATGTTGATGCTAATAATTCATCTGTTTATTTCTGTTTTGAATCCACAAAGTCTTTTTTTGTGTTTGCAGGTGCCGGGCCTGGCTAACAGCAGTGACAAGCCGTCTCTGGGGAGGGCAGGAAAAAGTCCTGATAGTCCTTGTCTTCCTGTTATAGCTGGTCCTCCAGGAGCTCCTGGGGTCCCAGGTAAGGTTGAGATAACAGAAATATGAGACACAGAATCAAATCAAATGGTCCCAAAGTAGAAGCAGGGAGAGTTACTGGTTAATGGACTATGTGATTGTTACAATGACTATGTCACCATGTTAAAATGATAAAGACGAAGAAGAGAGAGAGGAAGGTACTCTTTGAAGAAAAGTTTAAAAAAAAGAATCAAATAAATGAAAATGCTATAAACAAATGAATGCAGATGGTGTAGAAATTAAAAGCAACCAAAAGCTTCTAAAAAAAATAAAGGTAAGTTGTAAACACCTCAGGTAAGTTTTATTTTCCTTTAGACTATTGATTTCCAAAACCAAGTTTTAATGTGAGCAGGGTAACAAATGACCCACCCAAGATATTCCTTTTTTTTTTTATTATGACATTGCTGTTATTTTTTGTGTAAGACTGATTTAAATAATTATCTCATTTTAATAGTTTCCCTACTTATAGCTTTAACCACTTGTCCTCACCAGGTCACCCAGGTGAACCAGGAAAGCAAGGCGACCCAGGGGAGAGGGGCCCTCCTGGCCCTCGGGGTCCGCGAGGGGACATGGGACCCATGGGTCCAGAGCCTGACTTGAAACATATCAAAAGAGGCCGCAGAGGGCCAGTGGTAAGAAAAACAAGATTTAGTTACCACTAGCAAAGTGCCATAAAGACAACTCTCCCAAAAACCTGTCTTTAATACAACATAACAAATCATAATAGCATATAATCATTTTAAGAGATTTATCCAATACTACAAACACACTAAAATCATATTTTCGCCTTGTAGATTACCCATAACATTCTCTAACTTGCTTTGTAGCCTGCTGATGAAATGCTTTATACTTGTAAAACCTTCCCACAGCCTCAAAAAGCTCATTTGATGTGTGTGAAATCATCCCATATGCCATAATAATGTCTTTATAATAACGGACATGAACACATGTTGCTCTAATTACAAACACACCCACTGCTCTACATGTGTAACATCATACATAAATGCTTAAACAAGTGTATTTATTAGTCTACAGCATGAAGGCTCATTTCTCCTCATTGAGCCACTGTCACAGCTTAGTGACATATACCCATGTGCTATCATTTCTACAGGGACCACCTGGAGCAGCAGGAAGAGATGGAATAAAGGTCATTATAACACATTCTTATTTTCTACATGTGCAGGAGTTCTTGTCTCTTCCCATGTGTGTAGAGCTCCACTGTTGCCCTCTAGTGTCTGAAGTACATTTAAACATTAGTGAGCAGCCTCCACAGTTCCAGTGTCTCTAGATCTACAGTAACTTTGTCCCGTTGGTTTCTTCCCTCCCAGAGGATTCATTGACATAGATTGTATTGTACAAACACTAATATTCCAATAGTAGCTGCAAATAAATACTAGAGTCCATGTGAACCTGATTAACTGTGTTCAGGACAGTTGACAGTTACTACAGGTTGAATACATGTTCTTGTGTCCTGAAAGCATTTGAATCGTTCTGACACTGGGGAAGCTGTTCATGTTGAAACTACATTCATTTGTGCTGTTTGTCGTCTACAGGGTGAAAGAGGAGTCCCAGGTCCCAGAGGCCCACCTGTGAGTTTATGCTGTAGTAAAAACATTTATTCATACTTTACTTCCTGAATCTAGATTGAAAACTAGGAGGGACAGAGTGTTTGCCATCAGGGCTTCAAGACTCTGGAATAAATTGCCTGAGGAAATAAAGCTGTTTTCTTTTAAGGCTCGGCTAAAACATAGTTTTTAGAAGGTATTTTGGTCTTCTATCTCTATTTTTGTCATTATTATTATGATTAGCATTATTTATGAACTTCCTTCTGTATTTCAACCATCTGTTTTTTATCATTGTGCAGCACCTTGTGCCGTGCTCTATTATTGAAATTATTATTTATACATATTGTACTTTTAAACCTCTAAAAAGAAAACATTGCTTTCTGACAATGTGGAGCTTCTTAATCAATTCCTGAATTTCCTGTCTGTCTCCAGGGACCTCCCGGCTCCTTTGACTTCCTGCTGCTGATGATGGCGGACATCCGTAATGACATCATTGAACTGCAGGAGAAGGTGTTTGGTGAGCGGCGAGGCATCTCTCTGGACAGTCCTCCTCAGTCCAGTGGGGAAGTGGATTTTGTAGATTGGGGCTCAGGCCAAGGAGATCTCATGGTCAATAGTTGACCTTTGACCTCGGTCACAGTAACGGAATACTCAAGCCCAGCAACACAGTCACCGAACTTGACTCTTTTCTTCACTGATAAAGGACATTGGTGGTCAAAGAGCCAAAATGTAGATAATTCTTAAAATCACAGCTGGGATGAAGTGGGCAAGGAGCCTCAGCGGTTACACCCTCAACATTGCCACAGTCTGTAACACGGGGAGATCCAAGGATTACAAAATGAAACTCATTCTCTCTGCAAGCGAGCGAATCTCCTCGCTGCCGTTCATATGCTGTGGTGTGAGTGAGGGAATTGCGTGCGGGACATAGAGTGAGAAAGACACAGTGTGAGCCTTCATGTCTGAGTCTCTGAGCTCTGCCTCTGAGCTGAACCACTTCAAACGATGAACTTTATCGTCTACATCTCTTCCTGTTCCTGAGTCTGTCCGTGGAAGCTGTGCAGCCGCTGACAGTGTGCCTGCAGGGCACTGGTACAAAGACCCAGGACCCGCACCCTGAGCCTCCCCTGCACCTGACTGCAGGATCCAGCCCTCGAGCCGAAGATACTTTCTACTCTGAGGCACAAAGTTCAGAGACAAATTCAATGCAGACAACCCCAATGTTGACAGTAACAGTAATGCCTGATGTAATGTTGTTATTATGCCATTAACAACTCAATTCAAGTATGAATAATATAACATTTACTGCAGCAATATATTCATTTAGAAATAATATTAAAGATGTCACAAATACAACACAGTCAATCTTGTGAGAGTAACGTTCACATAAGTAGTATCTGCTTCTTATAAAACAAATATGCAGACACATAAAAGCTTTAAAATAAAAAGGATCAATTAATTTATGCAAAGGTACAAAGGTTCAAAAATCACATATTATCAGGCTATGTGATTGTAAACATTAATGAGTGAAATTGTCAAACGGGAACAGTTTCATGGAATTTGTTGCACATGTTCTCGTACTGCACACATGCTTCTGTCACTAGTTTGTCAGAAACATGTTCGACATGAAGAAGGAAGGCAGCTTGAAAGCTTCGTACTGTGAAGCAGCAGTTGCCAGGAAGGGTAAACCCATTGCTCAATAAAGGTGTCATCTTAATAGAGATTTTACCTGTTTAATGTGGATTTTTATTCATAATGTTCGCAGTTTTATTTTTTAACGATCGTCAAATTGCAAATGATCAAAATTAAAAATATGAAAATGCTAAAGTGATTGCATCAAAAACTAGAAAGAGAGAGCATACCTCCACCAAGGCCCAGCAGCCCCCTCATGAAACTAAATTAGTTAAATTCACATGATTTTGATTTTGAGTTGGTTCCGAACCATAAACATCAGTCCTCTAAACATACCTGATTACTTTCTTTTTACTGCTTTCATCAAGATCCATGAATTATTTTGAGAAATGTCATGGAAATCAGTTGAGAAGTTTTTGCATAATTGTGCCAACAATTTTAACAAACAAACGCAGACAAAACCTAAACATGCATACATCCGCCAAGACCTAACAGTCCCCTCGAATTAAACCAAACCTCACAGCTAAGGCCACATTACATTTTCCAGCTACACATTGGAGGTAGTTTTTAGCTGAAAAAGCTACACCCCTATGAAACATTTAAAGGTCCAGTGTGTAAGATTCAGGTGAAAGGGATCTATTGGTAGAAATTTAATGTAGGACAATCCTCATGATGTTTTCACATCTAAACACCTTTTGAGTTTTTATGACAACTGAAGCTACCACAGGTTCTTTTTTATGTTTAGAAGGAGAGGGTGAGGTGAGGGGTGTTCAGCTGCAACATGCAACTTCAACACTAGATCTCACAAAATTCTACACACTGTACCTTTAAACAAAATGTACACTCATTGACATTAACTTCCTAAATATGCCAGATTTTTTTCCCATCATAATCCATGAACTAATTACTAAGAATGACAAAATGCAATTAATATTTGTAGCTGTGACTCTTGTGACTCGTAGTTCAGTAATGCTTTTTCTAGGAAAAATATAAGAAGAAAGATTGAAGCATAGTATCAGTTCAACATTTAGGGAAATTGATTTATTTACTTCTCATAAAGCAAAGATTTATACTACTCCCAGTGTCATGTACCATCAGCACCAAATAAACAAGTTTTACATGAAGACTGAAAGCAGGCGTCTGTACAATAAAAGAGATATAATGTAAATACTCAGCCTCAGAGGAACTTAGTGGTAAACATGGTCAGAGCAAACTTATCTGTTCCCCCTCGACTGCAGCCTTTATGCTAAGCTAAAATAAATCTACAAGCATCATATGGACAAACATTAAGCTGGTGTGAATCTTCTCATCGAGGAAAGCAGATAAAATAGTGGCTCTGCAGTTTGTTGGCACTTCTTCAGTGACTTCAGCTACAGCTTCCTTCAGTGGGAGATAGTTCTCAGATACTTTTGATTGGCGGCTTTTTGTATGGCTTATTCATATACAGTCTATGGGCGTATTATGTAAATTAGAATGGATTAGCATGAAAAACAATAACCATGGTAGAAATGCATTGTAGGTCATTAATATAAAGAGTGATCGAAGTTGCAATAGTTCAATGAGCTGCACACACGTAATGTAGTGTAAGGATTGTTGAACAGGATGATAGCACCCTATTTGCACTCTTTCCTTGTATTATAGTTTACTTTGAGTGAGAAGTGCTTTTACAAGGTGGCTGTAGCTCAGAGAGGAAAAGCTGATCGTTCACTGGTTCGATCTTCATCTCCCCCATTCTGTGTGCCGAAGTGTCCTTATGTATTCATCCAGAATGTGAATAGTTTCAGATTATAACTCCTTTTTCTTCTTGTCCAAAGCGGAATGAGAAAAGAAACCATGAATATCAGAAGCAGGCAACAGATCCCAAAATCTGAACAGCAGATTCAAAACCCAAGACATGTGAATGAGCAACAAGGTGCTGTTGAGCAGGGATTAGCTCTGATGCTGAATTTGTGTGAGTAGAGTTTCCAACCACGAGGTATCCCTGTTCCCTAAATGACCTTTTACTTAGTGCCACCAGCAGAGGGTACTAAATCACAGATAATCCCCCTTCAAAAATTAATCTCTGTGATCTCTCAGCAAGGTAAAACAACATAGAGTCGAGTTTTTGCAGCACTATTTCCTTTAGTAAATATAATAACTATCCATAAAACATCCTTAAAATATTTATTGCATCCCAAACATGCAACTTATAGAAAATAAGTATATCATCCTAGCATCTATGTGCAAAGCTCATGCCCTCTACTCATTATCCTCCGCAGTGGACTGTGGGACTGTAGCGTGGCTAGGTGTCATTATAGGTGTGAGTATCAGAGGTCAGAGGTCAAATGCCTGGGCATAAACAGCTGGAGGGATAATTATATACTGCAGGCTTTCTGAAGGGGGCCTGTCTGGGCTCGTACCCACCACCAGGGAGAGGGTGGAGAACACGCACACGTTTGATCTGCTGAGGCTGAGTTCACTCTCTCTGGCCTTTCTGATGCCTTTGACTCTTTGATCCTGACACACAGATCTCAGTGAAGATGTGTGTGTGTCTCTAAGTCTGTGTGTTCGACTTGACAGGCTTCTCACCTAACAGCTCCGCCCCCTGTCGTGCGGTCACTGCTCACAGTGCAGTCGTTGCCAGGGCAACCAGGATCAGGAAAAACAACATGAAACAATTTAAGAACCATGTCAGTGAGAGAAAGAGATTATCTTATTTCCTTCACCACTTGTCATGCAACTGGAGGCTTTGCTCTCAGCCTGTAGGGGACAGCAGAGAGGAGGTCACCAGAGTGCATGTGGAAGTAAAAAGTTCACCTGCATCAAAGTAGCTGTTCATCATCAGATGAGTACTCAGAGCAGAGACTGTCTTACTGTCAGTGAGGCAGACGTACCGTACACGTAGAACTTCTATCTCATGTCAGCTTGTAAGAGTCATTGTCTTTTATTAGCTATAGACCCTAATATATATATTTATATGTGTGTGTATTTTTTCCTATTTCTCCTCATACGAACATATCTGTGACTATCAGTTAGATAACAAATTTCACAAGTGCATCCCATCTCAGGCAGTCGTGATGGCAGACTCACTGATATTGCACTGCGAGCAGAGTTGTGCAACTATTTGCTGGCATCTTCAGATGAGAACAAATACACAACAGATACAATTTGGCCAGATATTTCCGAGTATGAGGGGAATTTCCGTACTGGCACACGTTGGCCAACCATAAATACACCTCATGCACGACAGGGCTGTCACTTCAAACAGTCTGGCCCTCCGTGTGTGTGCGTGTTTATGTGAGAAGCAGTTTATGGGAGCGAGTGAGTTAGCGTGTCTGTGAGTGGGTGTGTGTGTAAGAGAGACAGGAGCGTGTACTGTAGTGTTATTGGAAATACAATGGAGTGTATTTAAGTACACACTCAGGTCAATTAATGCAGTTGTTATGGGCTCCTCTGCTGATCTCTGTTTGTGTGAGTCTTTTTTGGCTGCTTTCAGTTCTCCAGCTCACTGCGCCCCACTTATTATTACTGTAAAAGACCAAATTTTAAATATACTATGAATCACCAATAGCACAAATTTTGGGATTGAATTTATTGATTCCATGCGAGAACTGATGTCTGCTGTAGTAAGCTACAATCTATAAAGTATAATCAACACACAAAATTGACAGGCTGAAAACCTGTGTAATAGATTGTTATAGAAAATCCACCATAGTGATTTTTTAAAATGTATTTGTATGTCTTTTATGCCACAATAACAATGTAATCTATTTCAAGCTTTTCAAATCAGTCCCAGTTTTTGCTGAATTACAGTGTAATTATTGCCTTCCTTAAAAAATACATTTAAAATGTGAGTTTCCTTTCATTTCATTACTGTTAATTATATGATACATTTGTAAAATACCCTAATTATATGAAAATGACCTCTTGAAAAGGATATGCCATATGCTTTGTTAAATTATGTCATTTATTTTATAATCTATAACAAGGTTTGTCTAAACAGATAACCACCCTATTTATTTTGAAATTCACATAATTTACTATGAAGAAAACATATTTTTTTAGTTTGGGATGAAAGTCCCAAAGGAAAACAGAGGTCAAAGGGCAGACAGGACAATCAGATTCTGAAACAAGGTGTTACGCTTGAACATATAACAATTATTATACTTTGTGCATTATACAATAATTATTATATAAACACTGACTGATCATACCTCTTCACTTCCTGCTCAAAATCAGATGACGTCATGTTAATATCTGTGTGTGGGCTTCTTGAAACCTCCCTGCACTGTTGTATTAAAACCTTGGAGTAATATGAGTTACACTGTTATATGTGAGCTTCCCTGACAGAAGTATAAAAATAGTTTTCAGAATGAATGCAGGCTTCAGTAGCAAGTCTGCAGAGCTGCAAATTCCACAAATGTATCAGGCACATCTAGGTCAGGTTCCTGTCGATCATAGGTCCAACACACATAACAATGGAAATATTAGATTTTACATGTTAACCTAGGTTCGAAATTCCGTAGGTCTGGGGGGTCTAAGAACCTTTGAGCCAATCAGAGACTGACTGGAAATTTTGTTCACCAGTATGATGCACCACACAAAAAAACTAGAGGGACGTACAAAGACAAGCATGAACGTTCGACTCGCAGAAAGCTGGACTCCCCTGAGAAACATCTCTCTTCTTTCAGGGCCCTCTGGTGTAGTAAGCAAGGGATATAAACATTAAATATGTGATATAAAAACTAAGCCTATGTTATATGTTTTATTGACTAGTGTACTTACTTTATCCAAAATGTTTCCAACAAACCCAGAGAAATCTACAATTTTAGGTTTCATTTTGGTTGACTTTTAGTTGAGTCATATCAGCTTTGCTCCTCTCTGCTGTAACTTTCAGAGCAAACAAAGTATAACAAAGGAAAATCACACTGCTAGCTAGTTTGCAAAATAGCCGGTCAGCAGCTTTTTCCTTCCACAGTTTGTATTTGCCCCTCGTAGTGGATCCTGATTATTTGCTGAGTAACATTTAGTATATTACCTCATCAGTGAACATGATTTGTGCCTGAGTCATATCAGGTCGATTGTCATCTGCAATGGTGGTGAAGACAACAAATCCTCATCATCAAATAGGTCTTTGTCTTGATTGAGAGACCCATAACCGCTGAAGTTACATATTGTACGTTTGAAGCTGCAGTAATTGATATGTTTACATTAACAATGGCTCAAATTACAATGTGTAAACCACAGAATTTTATCATTGAATATATGTGCAATATACGTTATATATGTTATATACATACATATGCACTATAACAAGTACAAGTGACATAAGGACAACTAGCAACTAACAACAGCTGTAACAATACAGTACTTGTCGGTGCAGACTCAGTCTGAGTCCATGACTAAAACCAACAAGCTATTGTGATATTCAGAGGTGACAGAAACCTCACAGTTTATGTAATCAGATTTAATGAGTCAGCCAAAGGGCGAGGAAGTTGCCTGGCCCAGCAGGGGAACCTCTGCACTTCTTTTATGAATACCTCAGGGTCCACATCCTTTGCTGGTGTTAAGTAAATCACAGGTGTCCATCATCGCTGGGGTATGCAGCTGCGTGCAACAAGAAAAAGGAGCACACACGCATGTAAACATGTCTTTCTATCTAACAT